TTGATTTTATGGATTGATCGGATGAAGAAGAGAGTTTCATTTCACATGATCATTAATTTTGGACCTTTCGATTTTTCTTCTCGAGCTACTTGTTGCTTTGTTTGCTTTAGGACAAGCAAAAAGTTAAGTGTGGGGGAGTTGTTTTGTATATTTTTATTGTTATTTTGTGTGTTCGTGTGTATTTTATTTGTGTTTGTTTTATTTTATTTGAGGTTTTTTTCGGTCCATTTAGTTATATTTGCTCGTTTTTGTGTTCTCGATTTGTTTTGGTGTCTTGTGCTTTTTATTTCTCTTTTTACCTTTTATTTTGTAGGAAAAGCGTGTTCTAGAAAGTCGATAAGAAAAAGCGTGTTCTAGAAAGTCGATAATAAATTTACCGAAAAATGCCGGAAAGTCACCCGAGACAAGGAGAAAAAGATTTGAGGAACGTGGATTGAAATTTCAAGTCAATCGGAGAAGCGTGCGGGAAGTTAGAGCGAATAGAGCTGAAGCCACGTCCAGTGCCTAGGATTCGCGCCTGCGGAAATTGTAATGCGGGCTGTCTAGAACCCTTGAATTTTGCCCGCGTACGCCCAGCTCGCGAGTCCCTCAATGCCCGCGAATTTTGCCTGCAAAAATCCCACCTTAGCTCGCGAGTTCAACCTACCTTGCGAGTTTTTATCATTAAATGTGTGTGTTTTAGTGTGTGTTTGTAGTATAGCTATAAATAGACATTGTGCTTTGTAATTTTGTAACGACTCCCTCATTTTCCAACTTTTAAGTTGGGAAATCCTCTCTATTTTCTTTCTTTTATTTTTGTTATTTGGTTTGGAGGTTCATAACTCATTTTTTCGGCGAAATTCCGGCAAGCTTATTTTCAATCAAGTTTCGAGTTTTACGTACTATTTTCGTTCGGGCACGCGATAGGAGATTAAGTACCTTGCTTAGGACTTACTACTTTGAGTTTTTTTTCGAATTGTGTGTTGATGCTCGTTTCTAGGGTTTTTGCTTTATTTTTGTTCGTTCCATTTTTGTCACGTTTTTCGTGATTATTTTTCTTTTCTTTTTCCCCACATTAGTTCCTTTAACTGGTTTTTAGTTAGATTTTCAGTTATTTCGTGTTCTCCTTTAGCTTTAGTTTTTTTCTTTATTTCTCGGTCGTTTTTCGGTATTCCTTCTTATGAGGTGTGCAGGTCGAGTCCGTTGCCGACTTTGATATGGAGGAAGAAATTGATTTAGCGAGAAACGGAATCAAATTCAGTTTCCCAACGGACGAATTAAAAACAAATAGAGATACGAGTCGGGCCCGAGCTCCAGGCCTCCGCGCGACATACGTAGCATGCGTACAGAGCTTCATATTATTCCGACGTCGGGACCAAGCTTCTTTCCCCGCCTCACAGTGCCCGAAACACCTGGACTGAGACGTACCTGAA